ATATACTGTATATGAAACACTTATTTTATGCAGTGAAAAGGATATTTTGTGATTGTGCGTATTGTACTAACACAATTGAAAATATGCTGAAATGTTTGAAAAAAGTGCATTTTTGATGATCTGTTGTGATATTAGTACTAAGAGTTTTGAAAATTTACCAATTGCTTGTGAAAATTGTGCCAAAGCATTAAAAAAAACTGTAATATCTTCTGTGGGCATTCATTTCTACATTAACTGTGACAGTGTTCGAACTATGCCGTGGACTTTGGGGGAGCCCACTAGTTTGTTTTTTTTTATAACGGGGGGGTGGTTCGTGCGAGTGCCTCAAAAGAGGGCTTACAATGACTTACAAAGATACATAACAGCTACAAGTGTATGCACTACTCACGTTTTCAGGGGAGCCCATGTCTTATTAAGGGGAGCCGAGCTCCCCCTAGCTCCCCCGTAGTTCGCACCCTGAACCGTGAACATCGCTTTCAGATGCACACCTCACTAGTGGGGTCGGTTTGCAGTTGGTGTTTCACAGTTGTTCACAGTTTTAAGTTAAGGTGAACCCGTATAACTGTCTTTCATAAACATCATAACAGCCTTACCTATTTAACCATAACAACTTAAAGAGAATCAGAAAATAATATACCCGCTCATACGTGTACTCGTGCCGCATTGCAATGCACTCAGAAGAGGGAGCGCTCACTCTTAAAGGGGTCACATCTCTATTTCACTCGTTACCTTGGTTCAGCGATAGTCCAATCAGTAGCCCAAGTACAATGTAGCTAATAGTAGGACACTCTTAAACTGGAATTTACTATTTGTGTATTGAGTTGGGTTTTCAGCAATTTTAGTACTTTCATGGAGTGTAGAAGCAGTATCATAGAATTCAGATTGCATTATTAGCGAATTGTTAATAGCAGTATGCATAGCAAATCAATTTAAATTATTACTGTTGCTTATCGCAGTGGCAGCAGAAAGTATCTGGCTGCATGAAATTTCAGTGATAACACATGGGGTAAGTAACTCTTTAAAATTGAAATAGGCTTTTATTACTTCGTTTATCTAACAGGGCGTACAGAGATTTTGTGAACTCTTTAAAGCGAAAGGCATTATTTGTTTGCGTTTCATTGTTTAATAAAGACGCTTATATTTATTACTTCGTTTATCTAACAGGGCGTACAGAGATTTTGTGAACTCTTTAAAGCGAAAGGCATTATTTGTTTGCGTTTCATTGTTTAATAAAGACTCTTAGTAATTCTAAGTACCTTCGTCCAGCTGTAGCAGCAGTATGCATAGCTATTCAGATCACAATTTTTAGCAAATTTAATAGCAGCTGAGTGGCATAGCAAATTCAGATGCAATGTTAGAAATAATATTAGCAGCAGTCTGCATAGCAACCAATTATAATTGCTAATACAGCAGGGGCAGCAGAAAGTTATTTAGTTGCATGAAATTTCAGCGATAATGCATGGATGGGCTACAGCAATTCTAGTACTTTCATGGAGTGGAGCAGCTGGATCCATAGAATTTCAGATTGCGTTATTAGCGAATTATTAATAGCAGTACGCATAGCAAATCAAATTATGCTTTTAGTTGTGGCAGCAGTAGGTAGACCGTAGTTGCTGAAGTTTCAGTGACTAAAAATGGATGGTATGTGAACTCTTCAAGCGAATAGGCATCATTTGTGTTTCGTTTATTTAAAAGGAGCTATAGCAATTCTAAGTACCTTTGTGCAGCTGTAGCAGCAGTATGCATAGTTATTCAGATCGCATGTAGCAAATTTAATCGCAGAAGCATGTAAAATTATTGTTGCTAATATAGCAGCAGCAGTACTTTAGTTGCTTGAAATTTCAGTGATAATGCATGGGGTAAGTAACTATTTAAAGTGAGATAGGCATTTTATTTATTTGCTTATTTAACAGGGCTTACAGTAGATTTTGTGAACTCTTCAAAACGAAATAGGCGTTATTTGATTGCTCTTGCTTGTTAATAAAGACACTTATAGCAATTCTAAGTACTTTTGTGCAGCTGTAGCAGCATGCATAACTATTCAGATCGCTAGTTTAGTGAATTTTAATAGCAGCAGCATGCATAGAAAATTCAGATGCAATGTTAGAAATATTAGCAGCAGTCTGCATGGCAATCCAATTATCATTGTTGCTAATACAGCAGTGGCAGTAGAAGTACATTTAGTTGCATGAATTTCAATAAGATAACGCTTGGATGGTAGTAAACTTTTAGGTGAAATTAGGTGCTATTCAATTCAACAGGGTTTATAGAAGTGAAATAATCATTAATTGGTTGTGTTTGTTTATTTAATAAAGGGGCAGTAGCAATTCTACTGCCCCTTTCTAATTCTAATTCTAATTCTAATTCTAGCATTCCTACCAGGACTCATTTAACCTACAACAACGACAAACC